AAAAGAAAAAGAATCATCTTGAATCTCTTAAACGAAGGCATGGGTGAAGTGGGCTTTCTAGGTGGGCCTTTGAGAACCCTCATTTTTTTTAAACATGATGTGGGCCTATTCATAAAGCTTTCTACACCACAACAATAATTGTGCACCTCCTATAAAACCTTGTATAAAAATATTGATTATTACATCCTACCCACATACAAAAAAGAAAATTTCGTCCTCAAAATTTATTCGACCATAATAAGAACTAAAAATTACTTGTAGTAAAGAGATCTGGATAGCGTTGATGAATATCGTCCTCTCGCTCCCACGATACTAATACAAGCGAAATGGTTCTGTTCTTGAGGACCTTCTCTTGTCTGTCCAAAATCTTTATAAGTCGCTCCTCATATGATAAGTTCGTCCCAATCTGAAGCTCTGCGATGTCTAGGATGTGTATCTCATCTCGTACATATCGTCGAAGCTGTGATACGTGGAACACGTTATGCAATCCATCCAACGACGGAGGTAAAGCTAGTCGGTATGCCACCTCTCCTACTCTCTCCAATATCTCAAAAGGACCAATGAAACGTGGACTAAGCTTCCTGCGGCTGCCAAATCTGATAACTCCTCTGGTTGGGGATATCTTCAAGAAAACATGCTCTCCAACTTGAAACTGTAGAGGTCTCCTCTTAGCATCATCCCAACTCTTCTGTCAATCTTGAGCTGACTTAAGGCGCTCCCGTACTGCCTTTATCTTGTCTATTGTCTGCACTATCATCTCAGGACCTAGCAGACGCCGCTCGCCCATGTTATCCCAACAGGTAGGAGATCTACATTTTCTCCTATATAATGCCTCATAAGGTGCCATCTGGATGCTGGCCTGATAACTGTTATTATAAGAAAACTCCACCAAGTGTAATTGGTCTTCCCAAGAGCCCTTGAAATCCAACATGCATGCCCGCAACATATCCTCCAGAATCTGTATAGTCCTCTCTGATTGTCCATCTGTCTGTGGGTGGTAAGCTGTACTGTAACTCAGTCTAGTCCCCAGACACTGCTGCAAGCTCTTCCAAAAGTGTGATAAAAATCGGGTGTCTCGATCAAAAACAATGCTAACTGGTACCCCATGCAAGCGTACTATCTCCCTCATGTACAACTCCGTTAAACTCTCTGTCGTCTGTCTAACTCGAAATGGTATAAAACGAGCTGACTTTGTGAGCCGGTCTACTACTACCCATACGACGTTGTTTCCCTTCTGGCTCCTCGGCAAAGCTGTGACAAAGTCCATCGTAACATGTTCCCACTTCCACTCAGGAATAGGAAGGGGCTGCAATAACCCAGCTGTTCTCTGATGCTCAGCCTTCACCTTCTGACATATAAGGCATTTGGACACAAATTGGGCTATCTCCATCTTCATTCCTGGCCACCAGTAGTGTTCTCTCAAGTCCCGATACATCTTTGTTCCTCCTGGATGAATAGAAAGCACTGAACTATGCGCCTCCTCTAACAGCTCTCTTCTAACATCGCCCTTAGGCACACATAACCTACCTCGAAATCGCAAGGATCCATCCTCATGTATTTGTAGATCAGTTCTCTCCCCAGACTCCACCTGTTTATTAAATTTTTGATATCGAGCATCCTCGAACTGGGTAGCCTTGATCCGGTCCACCAGGGTTGACTATAACTGCAAACTCATCAACTGTCTCTCTACTCAAGGCAATATAACCTCCATGTTCATCCTCCAAAACTCAGCTAGCAACTCCCGCTGTCTGGTGAGTCTCATCGCCATAGGTTTCCTGCTCAAATGATCTGGCACTACATTAACCCGTCCTGGGTGATATTGTAAATCATGATCATAATCCGCCATAAGCTCTAACCACCTACGTTGCCTCATGTTGAGCTCTTTCTGGGTGAAGATATACTTTAAACTTTTGTGATCTGTGTACACCTCCACTCTCTGCCCTAAAAGATAGTGCCGCCATAGCTTCAATGTAAAAATAACTGCCGCTAGTTCCAGATCATGAACTGGGTAATTCCTCTCATGCGTCTTTAGCTGTCTAGACGCATAAGCTACTACCTTTCTGTAGGCTGTCTAAAAATCACAATAGATAGCTGATCCCCATCAAAACACCAATGATGGAAGTTACACTCTGACGACTTTCAGAAGGTTACAATTTGAAGACTTTCACGTAGATCGCTAAATGTTACAATCTGACGACCTTCACGACAACTGATGGAAGCTCTAATCAAACAGCCTTCATAATCAACATCGGGAGTTACAATCTGACGACTCTCATATATCAGAGAGCTAAAGCAAAGATTACAAAATGACGATCTTTGCAACGCTTCGACAGAAAGAGACTACAAATCGACGGTCTCTTCAAATCAAACTGTGGAAGTCCTCCCCGCACACCAGCATCAAGACGCATCGCGTTCACAGCCACGAACGCAGCTCAAACGCAACTCTAAAAGCTGCAAATGCAGCTCCAAAAGCTGCAAACGCAGCTCCAAAAGCCGCAAACGCAGCTCAGATTCGGCCGCCAACGCAGCTCATGTTCGGCCGCAAACGCAGCTCCAAAAGCTGCAAACGCAGTTCATGTTCGGCCACAAACGCAGTCTCCGAAAGCTATCAACGCAGCTTTCACCTGCCGCCAAACGCAGCTCCCAAGCTGTCAAACGCAGCTTTCAACAAGATGCCAACGCAGCTTCCAAATTGCTGCATCTGAGCTTCCAAACACTGCGTTTGAATGCAGAATTCGCATCAGAACATGGATTTTGCGTTTGACTCGTTCAAACACGAGCTGAACGGTTTCAAAACCGTTTCCCACGATCTGAGGGGATCACAACTCCACTCAGGAGTGATTTAAGGGGCGGTTACATCCCATTAGCCCCACTTAGGAGCGAATTAAGGAGGTGGTTACACCCCTTAATCCCCTATAAATAACTAAAAATCAATTCAGTTAGGGGGGTCTGTTGGAACTTCTTGGCAACGAAAAGAGGACCCTTCATCCTTCGGTTGGAGCTTTGGAGATCGACAACAAGATCTTCTTCATCCTTGGCTTATAACCGACTTTCGGTTAAATCAACTCTTTCATAGAGTTTTAAACTCATTCAGAGTTCTCCACAACATCGAATCGTGAGGAGAAGACCACGTTCCAGTGAAACAAGACATCGGATCGTCAACGAGAAGCAAACTCGACGCGAGCATTTGAGGGAGGCATCTCATCGCCACCGTGAAGAACCCAGAATTAAACAAAGGGGAGAATCCAGATCATTCTCTTCTCTTTTGTAATCTGGAAATCCAATTGTAACTGAGATTAAAGGAATACAAATCAATTTTCCTTCGTTTCTTTTACTGCAAATTTTCCACAAACACTTTCCATGTTGCATCAAAACACAACCTAAACCCAAACCAGAAGCATCTATGTGCACTACAAATCCTCCTGACTCATCCGGGATTGTCAAAACAGGTGCTGACGTCAACTTCTTCTTTAACTCCTCAAATGCTGCTTGACACTCTGGAGCCCACACAAACTTGACCACCTTCTGAGTCAGCCTAGTAAGTGGTCCTGCAATCTTAGCGAAATCCTTTATGAATTTCCTATAGTATCCAGCCATCCCCAAGAAACTTTGTACTTCTGTCACAAATGTAGGTGGATCCAATCTTAACACCGCATCAACCTTCTTCGGGTCCACAGAGATACCCGCTCCTGAAATTACGTGCCCCAGAAAAGACACTTGCTCCAGCCAAAACTCACACTTGTTTAATTTTCCATAAAGCTTCTCCTTCCGTAGGATTTGCAACACCGTCCATAGATGTTCTGCATGATCTTCCTTGGTCTTGGAGTACACAAGAATTTCATTGATGAATACCACAACAAATTGGTCAAGATACTGGGAAAACACCTTGTTCATCAAACTCATAAATGTAGATGGAGCATTTGTCACTCCGAATGGCATCACCAAAAACTCATAGTGCCCGTACCGTGTTCGAAATGCGGTCTTGGGTATGTCTTCATTTCTCACCTTCAGCTGATGATAACCTGACCTGAGGTCCAGCTTAGAAAACACCCTAGCTCCTCCGAGCTGATCGAAAAGATCATCAATCCTGGGAATTGGGTATTTATTTTTGATAGTGACCCGATTCAATTCCCTGTAGTCAATACACATCCGTTTGCTACCATCCAGCTTTGGCACTAACACCACTGGTGCTCCCAAGGTGAAGTACTAAGCCTGATAAATTTCTTATCAAGATACTCCTGGACTTGCTTCCGCAACTCCTCTAAATCTGCTATTGGCATTCGATAGGGTGGTTTTGAGATGGGTGCAACCCCTGGAATAAGATCAATGACGAACTCTATATCTCTATCTGGTGGTAGACCCGGTAACTCATCAGGAAAAACATCAAGGAATTCCTCGACAATTTCTGGTATGGGCTTCTCCTCTACCTCTATACAGGTTAATACTTCATCCATGCTAGCTCGATGCTCTGGCTGCTCCATCACTTTGCTTCTGCTCATGAATTCAAACTCTGGGTGACCTGGTATCTTGAACACAACGCTTCGACGTCGACAGCCGATCGTCGCATGGAAGTTGTAGAGCCAATCTATCCCCAAAATGATATCGAACCCGTTAGTGTCAATCACCAACAAGTCTACAACTAGCTCCCTACCACAAACTACCACTGGGCATTTCTTACACTCCCTACTAGATATTAACACCCCACTACCGGTATGTATACTCCAGCTTGCATCTAAACTATCATAGGGTATGGTGTGTCGTGTAACGAACTGAGCAGATATAAAACAGTGCGATGCTCCAGAATCAAATAAGGTAAATGCATGCACTGAGTAAACCAAAATAATACCTGTGACTACATCACCAGATGCCTCTGCCTGCTCAGTGGTAAGTGTCATAATCCAACCTTGTCTCTGCTGCAGTTGAGTTTGCTAACCATAATGTCCTGGGCATCCCTGCTGATACTATGGCTGATATGACTGCTAGAAATGAGGACCTCTCCACTATCTCTGGCCTTGAAATTGCTGACCCCTCTGATGTCCTTGAAACATCTGCTGCTGCGTAGGAAGTAGTGGCCTCAACTGTTGCCCACCCGGTCTAGCCTGCCTTGCTGGCACTATCGCTCTACCTGAATATCCTCTTAAAACTCCTTTACTGGGATAAGTGGAAAGCTGATGATCTGCCGCCCCACATGCTAGGCATAACCCGTTAGCTCTCTTGCAGTCCTTCATTATGTGCCCCGGCTTGCTGCATAAATGACAAATCATGTTGGTTGGTTGTGGAGCTGGTCTTGGAGTCCCTATCTGCTGGCGCTTGGCTGGTGCTCCTCCGGTTTGAGGCTTCTGCTGGTTGCCTCCTGAGTTCTGTCCTGCAGGGCGCTTGTTTTCCCCTCTCTTCACTGAGCTCATGATCCCAATCAGCTGTTCTGCTTTCCGAGCTGCCTCTAGGACATCCGCATAAGTCTCAACCCCCTTCTGACTATAAATCTGAGTCTGGATCTCAAAATTTAGACCCTGCATGAACCTTTGTCCCTTATCCACCTTATTCGACACCATCGCCAGGGCAAACCTGCTGAGCTTGGAAAATTCTGCTGCATACTCATCTACAGTACTAGCTCTCTGTCTTAGCATAACAAACTGTCTTTGCATCTCAAGACGAGCTGTCTTCGGAAAAAATGCCTCTAGGAAACTCTCCCGGAATGTCTCCAATGAAACTGGCTTAGGCAGCTTCTCCTCCTCTGTATCCCACCATGTTCTGGCTACATTACTAAGTTGTAGCTGCACAATATCGACTCGGTCGTCATCTGGTATCTTGGCTGTCCTCAATAGGCGATCCATGGTTTGTAACCACATCTCAGCCTCATATCCGCCTTCAGTCCTAGCAAAGTTTTGTGGGTTGAGCTTCCAAAAATCAGACACATTACCCGGCCTTGCAACCTGTCGTTGCCCGTCCCTTTGGCGATTTTGAGCTCCCAGCTCCCTAATCGCTTATGTAAGATCAGCCTGATCGACTTGGTATCCTGCAGGGACAACTAGAGCGACGGGTCGACGGGTTGGGGCCATAGAGATCACCTAAAAAAAGAGGGGTCGAGTTTAGGACTGGAGAATCACGGAAAATGGGAGTCAAAGGATGTATTTCTGAAAAGAAAAGGACGCATTCTATACATGCTCTATTTTTGGCTCAATCTTAGTTTCTATGTGTATACAGGACGACACAACAATTCCTAAACCTGGCTCTGATACCAATAAAAACCTTATCACGCCCCGGTTCCAAAATGTAATAGTTCGGAGCATGACTCGGTCGGCAATACAACCATACGATCGCATTCACGCCTCTAGATCATCCTGTATACAGATAAAGCCAAAACTATACCAAAGAGCATGTAACCAAGATAATAAAAAAAGAAATGTATAGATAAAGAAATATCAGAAAATTTCCATAGTTCTATGAAAAGTTCACAAATCTCTAAAGAGAAAAAAATACACCATAGTCTGGAGAGCCAACTGGGGCTAAAGAAAAATAAACTAAACCAAATAACTACCTAAAACAACTGAACTGGAGAACTGATAGAAGGAACGGTGATCACTGCAGCTGAGCCTGCCCCTCGAAATACTCTCGGTCCTGCGAAGAAAGAACAGTTCCCGAATCTGGGGCATACAAACCCCAGGGGAGTCAGGAAACTCCCAACAAGCATGTAAAATGAAGGAATAGTGCACGTATAAGTGTAATGTGGCATGGAAAAATAATAAAAACTCCATTAACGGTAAAAAAAATGCTAATTATAGATATCAAATAGGTCAACCACAAGACACACAAGCCTGTTATTACTGTTTTAGATGTTATTTGAATTAGAGAAGAATATTTCATATATATAAGTCGGTTTCCCGTAAACCGTCCCGGGAACACGGCTTCAAGTCATGATGGGCCCTTAGTTCTCATATATATATATACCAGGATATCAAGAATACGCACAAACCCGCTTATATACATGTTATATTCTCCGTCCAATTCCCCTTTTATTAAACCCCATGTTGTCTGTTTAATCTAAGTAACTGTGCATGAAATGTTGTGCACTAACCACAGGGATTCTGTGGAACGGCTTCGGTAAAACTATGAAAGATAACCATGGTCCAAAACATGTCTAATCAAGAGGAGTGCATCGTCTAGTCGATGCTATAATAATAATAGCCAAGGAAAATCACATATCAGGATATCGATATCGAGAGCGTAGCCATGCTATGAAAAACACACTTATAAATTATATTTTTGGACGGAAGACGTCTTCATGCACAGTCTAGCCTATTTGATGACATTTACTGATTAACACTGAATTCAACCGCACAATCTATTTCATAGCATAACAAGTTACACAAAATGAGTTGACAAGTTCACTAAAATTAATATAAGTAAAAAAACTGGTACGAGAACTAATATTTTTTAAAGGACAAAAAGAGAGAATTTGATAAATAATATAAGTCTAAAATTTAGTAAACAAACTAATAGTCAAAATAATTTTTTTTAACCAAAAAGACATGACCAGAAACCTAGGATTATACAAAGAAGAAAAAAAAAGTGAATGGGTTTAAAGGGTCAAACCATTGACTACTACATCGGACACAAAATATCTAACCATGTTACCCTCAAGCCTTGTCAATTGCATGCTATTACCGAAAGTTTAATAATCACACAAATGAAAAAAACAAAATCTATATACATGACCTCAAAATAATTAAAGGTACAAGATCTATACCGAAAGTTTAATAATCACACAAATGAAAAAAACAAAATCTATACCGAAAGTTTAATAACTAACTATATATTAAAAGTACAAGATCCCAAAGATGGAACCATTTTGGTCATACTTATTTACAGCTCTTGCCCTCAAATTAATTACAACGAATGTCATTCAACCTATTATCATATCAACATACAGCACCTTGATAACTTACAAATATTAAAACTCTACATCAATGACCGGTTATGTATATTGTCATAAAGTTTTAATTATTTACAGTTCATGCCATCAAAATATTTACAGCTCATGCCATCAAAATATTTACAACGGATGCCATTAAACCTATTATCATATACATACACCAAGTTGATGACTTACAAATATTAAAATTTCATAGCAAAATATATATAATCCAGTGAAAAAAAATGTTTGCATGAATGAACAAAAATCAAAAATAATAATCTAAAAAAATATAATATTTGAGGAAAAGAATGCTTGCCGATTTGTCAAAGAAAAGACTATGAACTCCAAAAGAAAAAAACCAAATGTCCGTCTCCTTCCCTTCTCTTGTTCTCTGTTGCTTCTTTTTCTCTTTTTTTTTTTTTGTTTTTTTTATATGAAAGAAGAAGTGAGGATATATATAAAGGGGAAAGTAAAAATTTAAAAATTCCTAAAATTAAGGAATTTGTTTTTAAATTTGGTTAAATGGGTAAAAACAAACAAGGAAACTAAAAAAAATCCCACGTTATTTTTTTTGATTTGGAGCTAAAATCACGGCATTTTGATTTTAAAAAAAAACCAAAAAAAGAAAAAGAATCATCTTGAATCTCTTAAACGAAGACATGGGTGAAGTGGGCTTTCTAGGTGGGCCTTTGAGAACCCTCATTTTTTTTTAAACATGATGTGGACCTATTCATAAAGCTTTCTACACCACAACAATAATTGTGGACCTCCTATAAAACCTTGTATAAAAATATTGATTTTTACACGACCCCCAAACAGCAACCCGCCAAATTGCGGGTCATTGTTGGGACCTTAATTTGGTCGCATGCACAAGCAACTGCTCTGTTTGCGTTAGATTGTTAATCTTTAATATCTTAAACCTGCCTGAACTACAACGCGAGAGTCGGGGTTAACCCGACCCCACACTGTGAACAGCCTAGAGTGGAAGAGAATCTTAGCAATTAAGTCTAAGATAAGCTCCTCGACGACTCACTACGCTGAGGGGCAACAACGCAGCTAGCCCGACTCAAGCAACACTCGATAAAGACAAGTCAAACACGATGACTATCAAGGATTAACCAAACATCCTAAAGCATAGGTCAACGCAAAAAATAAAGAAAGGGCTGTGCATGCAAAATAGTAAATAACCAAAAGCATAAGGAGCCATTCCAAGCTGAGTTTAAAAAAACACATCATGTTTTTAGACAAAGATGCAACTAGCATTAGCAAAATTACAGCAGTGCAATAGAAATATTCTAAATTAACTTCAACAGGATGAAGGCGATGATCCTAGCCTTGACATCCGCGACGTCGCGTGCCTATCTCGGACCTTCTCCTCCTGTCGCTACTAAAGCTTAGCGAGGGCAGCCGCACCATCTTCCTCTTCCTGACAAAGGATCTGAAGCGACTTTGCCTCCGCCTCAGCGACACGACAGACCCACACTTTCTCACGCTCGAGCTTCATCAGGTTCTCCTCTCCCTCGAAGGACCCTGCATCCATAAAGAAAGTAGCATCAAGATAGGCATTCATCTTAGCCAGCAAGGCGCGATGCTGCTTGCATAGGTGCTTAAGCTTGGCCTCCTTCTCCAGGATGCGCCTGGCCAAAGCTTCGCACTCGAACAACGCACTCATCACGAGAGGCGTCGGCTCGTCTTTGGGGTTAGCGTGCACCAGCGCCTCTAGGCGGTACATTAACCGCTCCAAGGGAGCTCTCGCTTTGGGGTTAGCGTGCACCAGCGCCTCTAGGCGGTACATTAACCGCTCCAAGGGAGCTCTCGCTCGCATCGTTGGGCAAGCTGAGGGCCGCCCACATGTCTGATCCACGAGGGGGAGCACGTCGTAATATCTCCCAACGCCTTGACTAATGACGGTAGTCGTCCTGCATAGGTCATCCTCCAACTTTTAGAGGATGGCGAGCGTCAGAATAAGATTCGAAGCGGTGAACCCCTAGGTCAGGCTAACAGCGGCAATCAGCATCACATCACCACCGATGAAGGAGTTACAATCAAGAATTTTCTAGATCCATTTAGATAGGAGGGCTTGGTTGAAGATGGGAAGCGTCGATAACTCCAAGACCCCCCCCCCCCTCTTGTTGTTTATAGACCTTGACTGCCATTCTGACTAAGCATTTGGGTCTAGAGGTCTCTTAGTTCCCATCCCGTAGAAAGTTCCTCTTAATTTTATCAATTATCTTGGTGAGCCTGATTGGTAATTTGAAAAGGATATATAGTAAAGAGGAAGGGAAGAGAGAACTGAATTCATGAGAGTGAGTCTGTCGCTAATGGAGAGTGTTTTATTTTTCCATGAAGAGAGGTTTTTAGAGAACAGAAGAGAACAGAAGTGAGTCTGATTGGCAATGGTTGTCAGTCGCGCCTAAGAGCGCCTCTTTTAAAAGGTAGACCAAGGTAAGAGAACAGAAGAGAATCTAGTGTGTAGTTAAGAAGTTAGAAAGATGTTTTCCTTTTTGAGGGATTTTACCTAGGTAGGAGAGGTTCGTTTTGGCGTAATTGATGCTAAGACTAGAAATGTTTTAAGAGACATAGAAGATTGTTTTGAGGACACCCAAGTCATGGTGACTAACCTTGCTAAAAATAAGAGTGTCGTCAACAAATTGGAGGGATTTAATTAAGTTAAGCTCACCTTTAAGGATGAGCTTCGAAAGATCACCCGAAGACACACTATTCAATAGCATTTTATTAAGCACATCTACCACTAAAATAAACAACATGAAGGATAGGGGGTCGCCCTGTTTCAATCCATGATAACACTAAAAAAATTTGATGGGGGAACTATTAACAAGGTGTTCGCGAGAAAAATCGTATCTTTCTTCATTGATTCCATTGCACTCAAGTAATCGTTTATCGGTTACAAAGATCCGG